CCCCTTTCTATTCCAACAGGGTTTGAGAAGGCTTTAAATAAAGAGTCAAATAGAAGAGAGAACTAAATGTGTCAGGTGCAAATAAGAGTTAACACCCAAATCTACCTGACTTGCCTGTGGGCTTCCTGGCATTCTGGGGGGCGAGAGGAGAGTTGTATGTTGGGGGAGTATTTGAAGTTTGGAACGGCCCTAACTGGAATTAACCGACTTCATGCTCTGTGCCTCAGTTCCTTTGGAAAACAAGATGGAAGTACTCATAGTATTTTACATGGGCTATGTATCTGGCACAGAGGAAACATGTAATCACACTGCAGATTTTGTAATTCTCTCATTTACCTGGGAATAGGGAAGTGACTATAGAGGGTGAGGTTCTCCCTTAAGGGGCACCTTCCATGGATGTTCTCTTTCTCTGTTCCCTTCAAGTCCTATGGGTGGCCTCTGCAACTGCCATTGTTTCCCTGTCCACTTGAGTTTCCTCTCCACAACAGACTTTTTCCAGGATGTACACTCATGTATACTGGATGGTGACTGCAGATACATTTCCTGAACTCTAAGTCTCTCTGAGCTTACAATGTCCACATGTGGTACTGTATCCTCCTTTTGTCTGGAATTCTGTGGGGAGGGGGTGGGGGCACTTGTCCCACAGAACCTTGTTTTGTGTTCTGCAGTACCAGGCAGGCTGTTTCATTCTGACCTCTGAGGGTGAAGGGAGGTGAGGGGCCTCCCACTGGTGGCTTAGCGGCAGTGACTGACTTATTAAGGACCCAGTGGGCAGGGTGCTAAGGTTTGGTTTAGTCGTAGAGTGCTTGCCTAGCATGCAAGTCCTGGGTTCCATTCCCAGCACTGCAAATCATAGATGGATTTTACTTTGGGCCACCAGCTCAAAAAAAAAAAATGACAAGGAGACTTATTTATAAAAGCTTGTCCTATAGCTTAGGTTTGTCCCACTAGCACTTATTTGCTTGTTTGGTTTTTGAGACAGCGATTCTCTGTGAAGCTTAGTAGCCTGTCTTGGAACTCACTCTGTAGACCAGGCTGGCCTCGATCTCACAGAGATCCACCTGCCTCTGCGTCCTCAGTGCTGGGATTAAAAGTGTGCACCACCACCTGGTCCCATTAGCACTTATAACTTAAACAACCCATTTAGAGTCATCTGTTTTGCCTCATGGCTTTTTGCCTTTCTTCCATCTTGTATTTCTTATTTCCTCTTCTGGTATCTCTCCTGCGCCTAGATCCACCCCCTCCCCACCCCCCTGTACCTGAAGTCCCACCTAACCTTTTCCTGCCTAGCTATTGGCCATTCAACTCTTTATTAAACCAATCAGAAGGCACCTTGGCAAAGGCACATCTTCACAGTGTACAAAACGGCTATTCCGCAACATCAAATAAATAAATAAATAAAATGAAAACATTATTAGGGGCTGGAGAGCTGGTTAAGAGTTCATACCATTCTTGCAAAGGACCTGAATCTGATTCCTAGTACCTACATCAAGTTGCCTATAACTTCAGTTCTTAGGGTATTTGGTGCCTCTAGTCTCCACAGGCCCCTGCACTCAAGTGCATATATCCACCCACAAATACATTTTCAAAGTAAAATAAATATTAAAAAACAACAACCCTGTGAGCCGTTCAGGCATGGATACTCTCGTGCTGTGTATCACATTGCTGTCCCTACCCCTCTGGCAGCAGCTGATTTGCTTGGCCTGTCTTCTGCAGCAAGAAGTTTAGAAGCACTTGGCCCTGATGGTTGGAGAAAGGAAGCTCACAGCTAGTTATGGAATAAAGACAAAGAGTGTTTAGACATGCTACAAGTCTTTTAGAGTAGCCTTACACAGTCTCATCATCCTTCCAACAGAACTGTGAAGCAGGGACCCTTCCTCTTTTCTCTTTAAAGGATGTATTTGCCCTGGGCCATGAGATTAGTGCACTGCAGGGCCAGCAGTCTGGCTTCAGACTGTGTTTAACTACTTATTAATAGGCTTCCTAAGACCCAAGAACATGTTTGTACCAAGGCCTCCATTCTAACATGGATTACATGCTCTAGGCTGACTACTTTCCCCAGCATTGAGAGAATACTGGAACCAATGCTGTTTGTGTAGCGGGTTAGGGTTCTTCAATTTCTGTTCTAGTTTCATTCTTATGCTGTAATAAAATACTCTTGATAGGAAGCAACTTAGGGAAGCAAGGGTTTATTTTAGCTTTTAATTCCAGGTGACAACCATCCCTGTGGGGAACATCAAGGTGACAGGAGCTTAGGACAACTGGTCACATTACATCCGTGTGAATGCACGCATGCTTAGTGCTAGGCTAACTTTCTCACCTCTTAACATCTACTTTTATTCTCTGTGTGTGTTTGCCTGAATGTTACGTCTGTGCACCTTTGCATACAGAGGTCAAAAGAGGGTGTCAGCTTCCCTGGGACTGGAATTATGGACAATCGTGGACCTCTGTGTGGATGTTGGGAATGAAACTGCGGTCCTCTGTAAGAACAAGTGCTCTTAACGTCTGAGTCATCTCTCCAGGCCCTTCTCTACTCTTATATCATCCAGAGGCCCAAACCAGATATGCTGGCTAATGTCATTTCAACTTGACATAGGCTAGGCTAGAGTTATCTGAGGGGAACCCCAATTGAGAAAATGACTCCATAAGATCAGCCTATAGGCAAGCCTGTAGAACATTTTCTTAATTGGTGACTGACAGGTCAGGCGGGTCTCAGCCAATTGTGGGTGGTGCCATCTCTGTGTTGGTGGTCCTGGGTTCTAGAAGAAAGCAGGCTGAGCAAGCCATGGAGGGCAAGCCAGTGAGCAGCCCCCCTCCATGGCCTCTGCATCAGCTCCTGCTCTCAGGTTTCACCCTGTGTAAGTTCCTGCTCTGATTTCTTTCAGTGGTGAACAGCCACATGGAAGCATAAGCTTCCCCCAACTTCCTTTCTGGTATGGTGGTTCATCATGGCAGCAGAAACTCTAGCTGTGTGGCACTAGGGAATTGTGCCACGTATTTCCAGGCTTTGGTTTTCCACATCAATTAAGACAGTCCTTTACAGACACCACGCCCACAGGCCAACCTGATCTAGACAACCCCTCATTGACTCTCTTCCCACATCTCTAGATCACGTCAAATGGGACTGCTGTACATAGTGAGTTCCAGGGCAGCCATGGCTACAACAGAGAAACCTTGTCTCAAAAAAAAACCAACAACAAAAATACCCAACGCAATCCAACCCAAAACAGCCATCACACGAATCCCCCCTCCCCATTTCAAAACATTAACTTCTCTCCGGAGACAGAGAAATTTGTCTCTGCCTGAAAATACGGTGGTGCCGGCCGACGTAAGGCCAGGTCTCCGAGTACTGCAGCCTCCAGGAACCACAGTCACTCCTGCACAGCTTACAACTCTGCTCCGGATTCTGCACTTGTACCACGGCTGCCCTACCTTGGCTGTCTCAATGCCAAGAGGCAAAGGCATGACCATGAACAGGACTAAAGCAAAACACATCAGAAACAGTGGGGAAAGTCATGAGCAACGTCCTCACAAGTAATTACTTTAAACATTGTTTTAATTGGCAGAACACTAACAGCCTTTAACAAACCGGTCCTTTATAACCTTGGGATGAAGTAAGGGCAGAGGGTTGCATTTGAGGATGCCAGAATTACACTAGCGGGTCAGTGTCCTGGAACATGAACTTTGTTTTCCAGCCATGACCTTGGGGTCAACAGACCTGTATAAACTATACGATCCTGATTCAACCAGATGAGATAGGTCAGAGTACACTCGGGTGAAGCTCTAATTTACAACATCTTTGTTTCTGCCATTCAGTGCCCTACCTTTGGAGACGATAAGACTGCAGGGAGAGTTTCAGGGCATTCTAAACCAAGAATTTCTGGCTGGAATAGTTAACGACCACCATAACCCTCTTGGCTTAATCTCTCAGGCAATAAAACAAAAAGTCAAATGCGCAGAACTAATCTAATGGCTGTATACCACGTAGGGGACCAGGAAGTAATCTTTATTTCAAAAGGATGGGAAAACTTTCAGGATGCGAAAAGGGCATCCTCTCTTAGCTTTTCCTACATTCTAAAACAGGCACGTTCGAATACGAAAAAGTAACGAGGAAATGAACATTTCCTGACGATGTATTGAGTTCCAGTCACATGCTTGTACCTTAGCTCATATGATTCTTACTTGGTAAGAACGTGTAACCAGAATACCTGAATTAGTACTGCCTGTCGCCACAAGCCCCGATGAGCAGACAGGAAGTGCATCTTTGCTGTGTTTTACACAATCCTAACCCGTCCACCGGTCGCCTCTCACACAGCTAGTATTTCACGTTCTTGAGCACTCGGTCTGAGATACCTAGGGTTTGTTCAAGGTGACACACTGCAGCAATTCAGGGTCAGAATTCGAATCCGACGCAACATCCTCCCCGCTGCGCCACAGCCGGGGCTCTGAAACCGCAGGTCGCCGCGGAGTTAACTAATGAGCCATGGCTCTCCCTCAGCGCAGTGCCTGTCCTCATGACTCCTGAATCTTTCCATTTTCACTCAAGTGCATGACTGCGGGAACGAGGCAGCCACGTGAGGGCGAGGAACACATCGGGTCCGGCCAAGGGCAAGTCCCAGCACACGCGCTCTTCAGCGTCGCCACACAGCTGCCCCGGGCTCGCGTGGGAGGAACTCGGAACGACCTTGGTTGCGGCCTCTGAGTCGCAGCGTGGCGACCTGCGGGCCTGGGCGAGACTCCCCCACCGTCCCCGCCCGTTACCACCCGGCGTGGCCAACACAGACAGGATAACCCGGGCGAGGCAGCAGGGAGGGGGCCGACCAGTCCCACGTGGACCAGCTCCCCGTTGAGGGCGGGGCCTAGGGGGCGCCCGGACCAATCAGAGCCGCCGCTCCGCTCACCCGGCCAGGCGCGCCCGAGCAGCCTGTGGCTACGTCACGTCGGGGGCGGGGCTTCGGGCGGGCGCGGGGCTCGGCAGGTCACATGGGGTGTGGAGAGGGCTATAAATAAGGGCCAGCGGCGTGCTCTCGTAGAGTGATGGCCGCCGGCGCGCGCTGCGCTGTTTCTTCTCTAAGCGTCTGAGACGCCCGCGGCTGCTTCCGAGTGGGTGGCTAGCCCCTCCGTGTCGTTCCCCGGTGCTGCCGTCCCGGGCTGTGCGTCCGTGGCTCCAGCCTGCCACAGCCCCGTTCTCCCGGTCTCCGCTCGGCCCTCAGTCTCCTTTGGTGAGTTGCGGCGCGGTACCCTTGCAAAACGCTCTTTCTTCTCTGGAGCGGGCCCGGGGCGAGGGAGGCTGGCGGGCGGGTGTGGAGTGCCGGCCGCGGGATCCCGCTGCGCTGCTGCCCGCCTCCTCTACGCCGCACCCTTCCGCGGGCCTTTTCGGCGGTCCTCGGCTGGCGCGCGCGCGGGAATGGCCTTTTTCCGGTCTTCCACGGAGGGCGCGCGCGGGCAGGCGGCCGGAGACAACCGGACGCGTGGGGTGGGGCGGGGCGCGCGCGATGGGGGGGGGCGCACAGAGATCGCCATGTGCCCCACCTCGCACATCCTTTCGGGACCAGAGGGCCGAAGTAGCGGGCGGAGGGCTGCCTCCTTCCCAGGGATGCGCGCCGCTATTGTTATTTTCTCCCACTTCGTCCCCCCAGGATGAACTTGCGTCCTTTCTTTAATCCGCCATGGAATTCTGCTCCGTGCTTTTAGCCCTCCAGAGCCAAAGAAACCCCAGACAACAGACGCCCATACGCAGCGTATAGCAGTAACTTCCCAACTCGGTTTCTGTGCCGTAGTTTACAGTATTTAATTTTATATAATATATACTGTCTATTATTATAGCATTTTGATACCTCATTCCGTTTACACATCTTGAAAGCCGCGCAGTAATTCTCTTATTAATTAAAGAACCACTACACTAGAAAATGGCATCTACTGTGGCACCGATTACTAGTACTCTAGCTACTGTTACTACTGCTGCTCCATCGGTGGATGACAAACTATGGATGCTCATCCTGGGCTTCATCATTGCATTTGTCTTGGCATTCTCCGTGGGAGCCAATGATGTAGCAAATTCGTTTGGTACAGCTGTGGGCTCAGGTGTAGTGACTCTGAAGCAAGCCTGCATCCTAGCTAGCATCTTCGAAACTATGGGCTCTGCTTTGCTGGGGGCCAAAGTGAGTGAAACCATCCGGAAGGGCTTGATTGATGTGGAGATGTACAACTCAACTCAAAGCTTGCTCATGGCTGGCTCCGTCAGTGCTATGTTCGGTAAGTTCTTCTGTTCTTTTGGGTGCCAGAACCAATTTGGGTCTTGGGGTGGTTCTGTTTTTTGTCCTGAACCTTTTCTGCTCATTTTCATGAGAATGCACTGCTTATATAACGGAATTTTGCCATTTACCCAACAAAATTTGACTGATTCTGTTTCAGGTTCTGCTGTGTGGCAACTAGTGGCTTCGTTTTTGAAGCTACCCATTTCTGGGACCCATTGTATTGTCGGTGCAACCATTGGTTTCTCCGTCGTGGCATCAAAGGGGCAAAGGGGTGTCAAGTGGTCTGAGCTGATAAAAATCGGTATGTTTAAATTCTGTATGGTTTAGGTTTTATTTTTGTCGTTTGTGTTGCTATAATACTGTGTATTGGGAGTGAGTGTGTGGTGTAAATTGGGGAGGAAGATTTAAGAGTATCAGAAGTGGAATGCCTAACGTTTCAGGAGCATGTTTCTTAATTTCATTACTTGACACTTTGTGTTCTATTCCAGTGATGTCTTGGTTCATCTCTCCACTGCTGTCCGGTATTATGTCTGGAATTTTATTCTTCCTTGTTCGTGCATTCATCCTCCGTAAGGTAACCTTTCTACTTATGACCTTTCATGAGTCACATTCAGTCTTGTTTGAACGCACTAGTATTCTCTCAGATGTGACTGGTATGTAAGTACGTGGCTTTGGAAAGTTAAAAAGTTCTTTGTTCTGTACCTCCTGCATGTTGTGGTGATCTTTTAAAGAAGTGAGTTTTTAATATCCCAGAGGGCATTCAGGAAGGAAAAACTTGGTAGTTCTGTGGACTGCCAAGAAATAAGAGAGACTGGGAGTGAAAAATAAGGACATTTGTTGAAGGTGTCTTTGTCTAGCCATGTGCAGGTTCCTACCTTGCCTAAACCACCATTGCATTCAGGACAATTGGAATTGTAACTGATGAGTTCAACATGTCAGTATCCTCCTATGGTTTTTCTAAACTGACAATTCAATCGGTCTCTCCCATGCAGATTTACTACATATAGCTTCTAGATGATGCCCCTATTTGTTGGGACTCTGCTTTCTCAGGTAGAAAGAATGGGTAAGATAGGTTGTTGGGGTTTTTGTTTTGTTTTGGGTTTTTTTTTCTCTTAAAAAATACAGGTAGCCATTGAATTTCCTGACTATTTGAAAATCCCTTTTGAGAGACCTAGTGACATTTCTTTTATCATGGAGTCTGATCCTGGCTCCACAATAAATGTAGACAACAAGGGATTATGTTGGCACTGGACTGAATTACAGAAAGAATAAATGAATTTTTCTCAGGAGACAGAGTTGTCCTATTTTCTAGGGTGAATGGCTCTTAAGAGTCCTTTGTTATGTTCTTTTAAAATGCCCCTGACCTGTAGAAATCTAAGTGGGGGAGGTAGGTTCCTTTTCCCAACACAAGGGGAGTGTGTTTAGACTCCCTACTTCTTGCTCTAGTTCTGAGAGTCTCTGGGGAATGATTTATGTCTTTCTCAGTAGAAGTCCTCTAGCTAACAACTGACCTGGGCTCATGGGGGCTCACAGAGACTGAATCATCAACCAGAGAACTTGCATAGGACTAACCTGGGCCCTCTGTGCATGTGTTGCAGTTGTGTGGCTTGGTCTTCTTGTGGGACTGCTAATAGTGAGCAGGGGCCATCTCTCTATTGTCTGCGCTTGGGACCCCTTCTTTCTGGGTTGCCTCATCCAGCAGAGAGCTGCCTAGTTCTTGCTGCCACTTGATATCCCATGGCTGGCTGATATACATGGAAGACCTGTACATTTCTGAAGAGAAGGGAATTGGGGTGGGGGCTGATTAGGTTGTGAAAAATTAACTGATTAATTAAATGTTAGCAAATAAAAAAGGAAATATCTCTAGCTTGGCACAACGTGACTAAGTAAACAGTTCATTGATGCTCAACCTCTAGATTTGGTATTCTTTCATCCAACAAGCAGGTATGATTAACATTCCACCCATTCCCCTAACTGTAGAATAATGGTAATTTGATTCCCAGCAGTACTCAGTAATCTGTTTTTAATGTTCCCGTTAGAGCCATCTATCTCTTGACATACTGATAAACCAGAATAATTCATATTTTTATTGTGTTGAGTGTTCAGTTTACGTAGGTCTGTGGAACAGTCAGGGTCATTGTAGGATACATTTTAGCTTTCTCAACCACAGGGGAATCAACACCCAACACAGTAATAATAGAATGCTGTTTGGATTCCTGTTTTATAAAGGTTTGTGCTGGCCCCTTTGATTATTGTGAAGATCATTCTCATACAGAAGAGCCTCCTCTTCTCTGATCGCAGAAAACTGATTGGTAGTTCCTGGAGTGGGAACAGAGGTACAGAGAGAGAGGGATTTCTCAGTGTCCGGAACCTCTTATTGATAATGTATGCCAAGTGTCTGTGTTACTAGGAGTTCAGGTCGGCTATGTTAACTATTCTTTTTCATGGTCTCATGTAGTCCAGACTGACCTTGAACTTTTGATCCTCCTGCGTTCATCTCCCAAGTTCTTGGGTGTGTGCCCTACTCTTAGCTTAACAGAATGGTTTTTACAGGAGTATGCGATGGATGTGATCAGGAGTGATGGATGGTGTTTAGTGCAGTGCTGTCTTTAAGGGTCTGCCCCCTGTCTCTCACTTGTTCACAGTCCCTCAGAAATGAGGGACCCTTTCCTGTCTCCTTCCATATAACTGGGTAAGGTGTATTCACATAATGTCCAAGTAAAGTTTTAACTTCTTGGTCTCATTCCTTCCTGTATCAGACCCAGAATAGTTCCTAGAAGTCCATTGACTTCACTGAATGACCTAGTGCATAGTTGGTTTTTATCTTTATCACTATATGTAAAAGTCAAGTGGTCACATGATGAGAAAACCATTTTATAAAAGTCACCAGTGTAGTTAATTCTTGGGAAGAACTGGGGGAAGTCAGAAGGGAGAGGCCTTCCTTATTTTACCATTTTCCTTGACTCTTGCAAAGTTTTTTTTTTAAACCAGTTAGCATGTATTTCAGGGTATTATCCCAAACTATACGTTCTTTGTTGAAGTCTCTGTGAACTGGGGCTTAGGGGTGGGGGTGGGATGGTGTTCTGCTTCAGCAAGGCCAGTACTGTGTTTTATAGGTGTATAGCACCATGTCTACCATGGGCCCCAGCTACCTTACTTCAGAGAACATTTGATTTGGTCCCAAGGGAAAAAAAAATACATACTTAGGCTGCTTGTATGAATAAATCACTAAATAGCCTTTGAAAATTTGGTAAGAGTCCCTACCTAATGTCTGTCAAATTTTCTTGAAACCCTGGGTTTGCTTGCCTACCTCAGGCTCTTGTCTGCCTTTAGGTGTGACCTGCAACTATTTAGTTATTCAGAGTGAGTCATGGGTTCTGTAGGTTGTTTCTGATCTCGTGTCTCTCTGTTAGTGTCCTCCTAAACAATGGGTAAAGCTTAAAATTAAGTGTTTTTCAGTGAGGGTCTAAACCAATTTGAAAAGCCACCCTTTATGAGAGACTTAACTTCACTGATTACTAAGCTTCACTGATTTTTAAGCTTTTCATGTCTTAATGATTGTCAGAAACTTTGGAATTCCATTTGGTCTTCACCTCTGTGTTATCCTTGAGATTTTTGTGGAATTATGACAAGGATATAGCATTAAACTTTTGTGCTGAAGGTTTGGCTTTCCTGATGAGACCTATGTTCTCATTCTTTTAAGTGTTTAGCTTGAAAGTTTTTCTCTGGAATTATCTGTAATACAAACTTATTGTGAAGGGAACTGTTTTCATTTTCAGTCACACTGGCCTTTGGGTGGGTCATTGGCATTTGTTCATACCTCTGCCTACCCCCATCCTAGTGAACAGGTAGGGAGCTTGCACTTTCCACACCTGAGACATTCATGTCAGCCACTCATTCCCAGACTTCAATTAAAATGCCCCTCCCCCATCAACATCCTCTTATCTGTTTTTTTCCCTTTGAAGTATTTGTCAGCCAGTATGTTACTGTGTAGTAAAATATGACACTAGTTCTATGCAAAAGGGGACTGGTCCTTCTTCTACTTCAGGGCCCTAAACAGTTCTTGGCAGTTACTTGACCGCGTGGATGATTGTGTTCACAATTGATTTAACTTTGTACTTTGATAAAACTGTATGGCCTGTTGATCATATATATAGATAAGATCGTTGTGTATAGTCTGCACACTTATTTTTAATTTTGGAGGCAAAACATCAGGAAGTGAACTTGGTCTGTTTATCTCTTCAGTACAGTACATCCTGGGACCTGTGTTCATGTTTACAGATGGACTTTGGATAACTCAAAGGAATTGATTATTTGAAATATGAGTCACATCCTTGTTATTAGGAACAGGGAGAAAGGGTCACATGGATAGAAGGAGTCACTAGCTTTCTTAGAGAGCAAATGCAGGACCAAGGGCAGTTGGCTTTGTAGAAATTACTGTGGGAGGCTTTTGTTAGCACCGTGATCACATAGTCTACCTTGCCACAGAATGCTCTGGAGATGGATCTACATTTACAAGTTTTAAGATACTGATCTTAATGTTTTACAGGCAGATCCAGTTCCTAATGGCTTACGTGCTTTACCGATTTTTTATGCCTGTACAATTGGAATAAACCTCTTTTCCATTATGTATACTGGAGCACCGTGTAAGTATAAATCAAGACATTTAAATGTGAATTTAAGGTTATTTACAAAACTTGCATTAAATGCCCGATTTACCCCTTTTTGCTTTACAGGGCTGAAATCTCCTAGAAGGTGGCTGGCCTGCGCCCATTTCAGAAGGCTGCAGGCTAGTGTATGCTGAGTTAACCTAGATAGTTTTCAACCAGAGACCTGCTCAGATTCTAAACCACTACAGACCTTTCCTCTTTAGTCTTCACAGGATCCACTGATAATATAACCTTCTCCCTTCCCTTCTTGTATCTATGCTAAAAATGCTGGAATTGATACTGGCCTCAACTACTGAAGAGTCATTAGTTAATCAGTTCTTCAATAATCGGTCATTTAGGACTGATTGTTGGATATCATTTTCTCTCCCAATTGGAGCAATTTCAGTTTCTCAGTTTGCACCCCTGAATTCATTTGAATAAGAAGAGTTGGGTGTGTAACACTTGGTCTAATTACACTTGGAAGAAGAATTTCTACAGCTAAGAGGAAGCGTTTGAGAGGATATAAAAGTTCTGGTGTTGATTGCTTTCACAGTGGGAGTAAGGGAAGGCAAGATTTTACTTACGGCAACTGAGAGAATGACAGCTTGGACCTTGTGAGGCGGAGCAATACAGTTCTGGCATCTACGCTCATTTAGTGTGTTGGTTCTTAACTACATAAAAACCAGACAGTTACTACACTTACCTTCTCACTAATCAGTGAGAAGAAGGAAGATTGTGTGTAGCCCAGGGCACCCTCATGTCTATCTATACGTATAACTAGAAAGAAAGGTGGAAAGGGATTTTTCTTCGATTCTTAAAGGAGTTTCATGCTTGTGACTACTAAGTTGATTCCATCTCTGACTACTGGCTTGTGACCTGTTTATTACTGCCCCTGAAATTATGTAGTAAGTCACTGAGCAAAACAGAAACAGCCAGCAGAGTATGTCTAACATTGTCATTCTTGAAATGTTAGTGAAGAGGCAGACTTTTACGACAGGCCTGGTCTTGACGTAAGAAGTTTGCCGCTTTTGTGCTGTCCTTTATAGGTCGTTTATAAGGAAAGCCAGTCCTTCCATTCCTTTTGACTGGAATGTGGACAAATTTAAATTGTGATAGAGCCTGATTAAACCTCATGCATATTTTACTTTGTGTGACTATCTGCAAGGTCACAATTGAAAGCAGAAATCACCATAGAACTTCAGATTTGAAGCATCTCAGTTTATGTCCAATTCTAAAAGGCTAGGTCTTAGTATTTTTTGTCTCTTACAGTGCTGGGGATTGAATATAGGGCCTTCTGCAAGCTAGTCTGAAGCTTCAACCCAGTTTAAAGGGTTTTGATGGAATAATAGTGTTTGCATTTTATGTGACTTAATATGCAGTAGGCAAAATCAGTGAAACAAGTGCAGGTGATGAAGCTGCTGTGGGCAGGACAGCAGACAATGGGTCCTGAGTGTCAGTGATGTGAGATGGTCTCAGCTTTAGTGCAGGCCAGCAGCCCAGTTGCCTATTTGCAGTGGTAAGTTGATCCTGACCAACACTGCTGATCCTGAGGGAAAAGTATTGGAGAACAAATCTCTCAGTGGCTTGTTAGTGAACTACCACTAAACTAGACAACTATTTAAACAACTGTCTTCCTATAGTTATCAACCCTGTTTTCTGTTAGCTTGATGATACATTTGCAGAGATAGTTTCCGTGAAGGTTGCTTGCTGGTACAGTGAATAATTTCCCACAATTGTGTCACCTGACACTGACTGAAACACCTTCCCTTTTGAATTTTAAAATAAGTCATGTGTAAGTGTAATATGTGACAGCTAGAATGAAGGAGTGGAGAAAGGGATGCTTTGCTTGGTTTTATAGCTTCAGGTCATCAATGTACTGATTCTTGCATCTTCAGGACCAGCAGCATGAAGAAACTTAGTACACGAGTCCAGCAAGTGTTTCAGTGGGATTGGCTGCTGTGGGTATAAGATGGTCATAGGGTTTTTCTCCATGGTCTGTGTAGCCACTAGCCTAATGAACTCTGGAATGGCAGCAGCTGTCAAGGGTAATGGGCTAGCTTGGGGAAGCCCTCCTTTCTCTCAGGAGGGTTTACACGTTGTAGCAGGGGGCTGTTGCCCTAGGGTTTTCAAGATGCACCATTTTATCTCGTAGTGCTGGGCTTTGACAAACTTCCTCTGTGGGGTACCATCCTCATCTCGGTGGGATGTGCAGTTTTCTGTGCCCTTTTCGTCTGGTTCTTTGTATGTCCCAGGATGAAGAGAAAAATTGAACGTAAGTAATACAGTTTAGTAGTGTTCTCCTTTCCCTCTACCTTCCCCCTCCTTTTTTCCTCCCTCCCTCATCTATAAGAGTACACTATTTGGACAAACTGACAGCATAGGGGCTTTAAATGGACTAAAAGTGGCCTGAGATGTAGCCATTAAGAATATGTGACTAAGGGTAGATACACAATAGTTTTGATAGAGAAAGCATTTGCCTCAGCTGCCTCTATGTACTCAGCTTATCTGTGTGTGTTGCAGTACATATACACTGCATAATACCGACACACAGCCATGCACATAGTCCTTGTGCAGAGATAAAACACACACAGAAGTAAACAGTTTTAGGTATAAGTAATCTCTTAGGTCATTGCAGAACGTTTTTTGTGGTGTCATTACATACTGAGTATGTTTTGATGGGCACTAGTCTTTGTTTCCTTGGTGGCTAAGATAACTTAGAAGAATCCTGTTCTGTCCTTGTAGTGTGTATAGAATGTTAGTTTGCTGATGTATAGCAATGCAGGGGTGCATAGACTGCAGTGGCATTAAAAGAATGCTGCGTCATTGCAGCTGAACTGAGGAGCTGCCCAGAGCTCTGTGCTAGTCAGCTGTGTCACATGCACAGTGGGAATGAGGCTTTCAGGACTCTGGCCTCATTTTTGTCTCAGTCTGGGAGGAGAGACAAGTCTTACTGTAATGCTAGGCTTGTGTGAGATGCCTGAGCCAGTAGATGAACGTGGTGAGCACTGGCCTGATAGGCAGAAATACTGCCTGGCTGCCGGGTGTGGAAGTGTTCAGCCATTATTGTTACATCTTAGTTGTTTGTCCTCTTGGCCTAAGAGTTGGGAAATTCCTTAGTCAACTGCCATGAGCTTCCCTTTCAAGACTGAGATCTAAGAAGGGTTTTATGCTTATAAGTTATAAAAGTATAACTTTTATAGGAGCAGAACCCTAAAATATTTACTCTCTGACCATGTACAACAATTTGTCATCCTTCTTTTCCCCCAGTGGAGGGTGTGGTGTGTGTGGCTGATTTGCTCCCAAGGGACAGATGAGTTCCTGACATAATAAGGAGGGCAGGAACATTAGCTTTAATTTTGACTAGAATTTACACCTAGTTTTTTGAGATGGGTTTTGTTTGGGGGTGGTTAGAAAGGGATGTGGGACAAAATAATATAGTCAAACCAAAAATTCTCTTTATTTTCTAGGAGAAATAAAGTCTAGTCCCTCTGAAAGTCCCTTGATGGAAAAGAAGAACAACTTGAAAGAAGACCATGAAGAAACAAAAATGTCTTTTGGGGATGTTGAGAATGGGAATCCTGTGTCTGAAGTAGCATGTGCCACTGGGCCTCTCCGGGCTGTGGTGGAGGAGAGAACAGTGTCATTCAAACTTGGGGACCTGGAGGAAGCTCCAGAGCGAGAGCGACTTCCCATGGATTTGAAGGAGGAGACCAGCATAGATGGTACCATCAATGGTGAGTTGGCTTTCCAGGGTTTCCCAGTGTCCCTGAGGTTATGGAGAGGCTGCTATTCTGGATTGATGCACTTTGCATTGAATGTTACCTTTTTGGTCTTGGCTAGGTGCAGTGCAGTTGCCTAATGGGAACCTTGTTCAGTTCAGTCAAACTGTCAGCAACCAGATCAACTCCAGTGGCCACTATCAGTATCACACCGTGCACAAAGATTCTGGCTTGTACAAGGAGTTGCTCCATAAATTACATCTGGCCAAAGTGGGTGACTGCATGGGAGACTCTGGGGATAAGCCGTTGAGGCGCAACAACAGCTACACTTCCTACACCATGGCAATATGTGGCATGCCCCTGGATTCATTCCGTGCCAAAGAGGGTGAACAGAAGGGAGAAGAAATGGAGACGCTGACATGGCCTAATGTAGATACCAAGAAGCGGATTCGAATGGACAGTTACACCAGTTACTGCAATGCCGTGTCTGACCTTCACTCTGAATCTGAGATGGACATGAATGTTAAGCCTGAGATGGGTAACAGAAAAGGAAGCAGTGGCTCTCTTGAAGAGTGGTATGATCAGGATAAGCCTGAAGTCTCCCTCCTCTTCCAGTTTCTGCAGATCCTTACAGCCTGCTTTGGGTCATTTGCCCATGGTGGCAATGACGTCAGGTCAGTCCACATGACTCCCAGTGTTGGTAACTCTTTAAACAGTCTGCTTAACCTCCTGTGTGCAGTGCTCTACCTCCTGGGGAGACACTGAATAATCTAGGCAGGATGAGGTGGTAGTAGTTAATAAAGCAAAAAGGAAGCTCACTTAGACTATAAGAATGTTTCTAGCTTTATTTCTGTTCAAATAAATGTCTGTCCAGGTGGGAACTGAGTCTTTGCTAAATTGTAACATCAATGATGAAAACCTTAAAATCACTGACTGCCCTGAGGGTGGACTTAGGTTATCCAGCCTTGTTTCTGTGGCCTGTAAACTTCACTGGGTTCTGAGGCTTGCCTTAAGCTTCGTATAGGAGGAAAGGGGCCTCCACTTGCATACACCCTTCTGTCCAGCAGCCTTGATTTTCTTCTGTTATGTGTTGGGCTTCCGTAGGGTGGTTTGCTAAATAATCTGAAAGGCTGGGCATAGACAGTTAAGTCAGTCAGTTAACAGATTGAGTTTGACAAGAAGTGTTTCTGCCTAGAAAGTCACCACTGCTCTCTTTCCTTTCAGCAATGCCATTGGTCCTCTGGTTTCTTTGTATCTTGTATATACAACTTCAGATGTGTCTACGAAGATGGCAACGCCAATATGGCTTCTGCTTTATGGTGGTGTTGGCATCTGCATAGGGCTGTGGGTTTGGGGAAGAAGAGTTATCCAGACCATGGGGAAGGATCTGACCCCAATCACACCCTCCAGGTGAGTAGGTGAAACGTGCCTTAGGGTGGAGCTCAAGCTTCTTAAGGGATGCGGTGCCATGGAGGGTGTACATAGGTCTCTGCTAGAAGAATATGTTGCATTTGCTGCTGTTCTCATAGTTGATCTGAGCATTGTCTACGGCACTTATTGTCTGGCTTGTAAATATTTTTTGTCAATTTGCTCAGCTCTAGTGATCATGTAATTGAATTTTCTGAGAAAGATATACTGGCATAAATAATTATACATACATACGTGTGTGTGTGTGTGTGTGTGTGTGTGTGTGTGTGTGTGTGTGTGGCTTTGGTTCAGGAGCTAAAACCATACACTTTCTTCAGAATAAAAGCCCCAACTTTCTGTTTGTTTGCATTTTGAGATAGGGTCTCTCTCTGTAGTCTTGGCTGGGCTGGAATTCACCATGTAGACCAAGCTGACTTCGAACTCAGAAATTCATCTTCCTCTGCCTTCTGAGTGCTGGGATTCAAAGGCATGTGCCTCCATGCCTGGCATGTCCCAGCTTTTTAAATAATGAAATTCCAGAAGTACTTAATCCTCAGATGTTAGAACCTTGGCCCTACTTACTTAAGTAGGTTTCAGGGGTTAGAGGAGATGAAAATAGCAGGTTTTGTCACTATGTAGATCAAAGCAAGATTAGATTAGGTTATTTGGGTAGTGTTGGCTTTTCAAAAAACTCTAAAATGTTGACAAACATATTTTTGTATCAACAGTGGTTTCAGTATTGAACTGGCATCTGCCCTTACTGTGGTCGTTGCATCAAACATCGGCCTGCCCATCAGCACAACACACTGTAAAGTAAGTGGAATGGAATGAAATGAACCCCTCAAATTGTCCAAGTCCTAGTTATGTGTGGCTTTATTTCTTTGATTTGATTTAGAAAGTTTTGTGCAGTTGGAGTCTTAAAAGTTAACAAGCTTGGACAATGACCATGTGGGTAAAAGTTAACATTCTACAGTTTATCTGTAATCATCTAAAGTTCTCTGGGGTGGAGCTAGCTATGATTTCTAGTTGTGAACCTTTTGTCCCTCTGTCATGGCAGTTTATGTTGCGTTTCATGTCTACTTAGCATCTTTGTTCTCTTCCATGGGGAAGCCAGTTAGTAGTATAGGCATGTGCTAATAAACTGGTCAGCTAGTTTGGGTCTGGGTGGTTCCTCTCTTGTGCGGTAGCAAATATGCTGGCTTAACAAGTTTGGGAGGCTTATGGTAAGGGCAGTCTTGTGGTAAAAGTGTATATCCAGGGCCTCTTGAGCTTGTAGTGCTAAGAATCTAACCCGAGCTGGGCGTTGGTGGCACACAGGTGCAGGCCTTTAATCCCAGCACTGGGGAGTCAGAGACAGGCAGATCTCTGAGTTCAAGACCAGCCTGGTATACAGAGTGAGTTCCAGGACAGCCTCCAAAACAGTACAGAGAAACCCTGTCTGGAAAAAAACAAAAACAAACAAAGAATCAAGAAGTTTCTTGATGCTGCAAGGCAAGAGCAGGTGGATCTCTGTGAGTTTGAGGCCAGCCTGATCTACAGGAACTGACTTTGTTAAAAGTACTAAAGCTGGTCCAGCCTAGGGCCTACCAAGTCACTCTTTGTGCTAGGGTGTCTTTTGGCTCATATACCAGCCACCCTCTAGAACAGTTGTTAAGGAATCAGAAATTGGGGCTGGAGAGATGGCTCAGAGGCTAAGAGCACTGGCTGTTCTTCCAGAGGTCCTGAGTTCAATTCCCAGAAACCACATGGTAGCTCACAGCCCATCTGTAAAGTTATCTGGTGTTGTCTTCTGATCTGCAGGCAAACATGCAGGTAGAACACTGTATACATAATAAATAATAAAATACTAAAAAAAAAGAAATCAGCAATTTAACTTTAGGCAGAGAAAAGGAATCTTGTCATATTTTAGTACATTTACCACAGGTTTAATGATTGAAATTTTTATTGCCTTCATCTTCCCATGGATAATTTTAGCATGTTAGAAGTTAGCTTTTGGCTTGTGTCACATACCTGTAATTTCACCTTTTGGGATGCTGAAGTAGGAGGGCCCACAAGTTCAATTCTGTCCAGATGACAGCAAGAGAGACCCTGTTGTTCTCCAGACAGAAACTGCATCCATGGAGCTGAATTCATCACTTGTCTGGGTTCCTTGTCTCAGGTGTCTTTTTGCTGATTGTAGTGTCTGCTCTTTCTCTCCTAGGTGGGCTCTGTTGTGTCTGTTGGCTGGCTCCGATCCAAGAAGGCTGTCGACTGGCGACTGTTTCGCAACATTTTTATGGCCTGGTTTGTCACCGTCCCCATTTCTGGGGTTATTAGTGCTGCTATCATGGCAGTATTCAAATATCTCATCCTGAAAGTGTGAGGCTGGGGTTGAAATTTTTGTTAACATCTGGGACCACCATACACATTCCTGTTCCTAGAAGAATGCTCACAGTGTTGCGGAAAGATAGACAAAGGGTTTAAAGTTTGGGAGCCATGGGAGGGAAGTGTAACTTACACTATAATTGCTTTTGTGCTAAATTATGACTTGTCTCAAAATTAGCTATGTAAAATAGCCAGGTTTCCATTGGTTCATCCTAAGGTCCCTTTCTTCTGGGCTATGAATTCCTGTACATATTTCTCTACTTTTGTATCAGGCATCAATTCCATTATATTTTAATGTCTGTAAGATAACGTATGTGGGTTTTTTAAACAGCCAGGCAGAGCCATTCAATGGCACAAACCCTGCTTTGTTGGCCTCACCAGCTTCTTCCCCAACATGCACAGGGATTTAACAAACATGTAACTGAAGCTTCCCTCGTAGTCTCTCGTAGAAATAGTCACGGCACTCTGCCTCCCTGTCAGTTGTAGCAGGTTCTGTTGACGTATGTGGGAACTTCTTAGAGGGTCAAGAAATCTTTGGCACAGTGAAAATAAAAGTTTATTGTAACTTCTTTGCAAACAACTCCTGGACATGTTGCTAAGAAGTATAAAGACAAAGCCTCCTGGCGGTTGTGGGTATTCCTTTTGAGATTTTTGGCAGTGTGGGATGGGTGAATGAAGTGCAATGTGAACTTTGGGCAAATTCAATGGGACAGCCTTCCATGTTCATCTGTCTACCTCTTAACTGAATAAAAAGCCTACAGTTTTTAGAAAATCTGTTCTTGTGGTTTTTGTTTCTGTTGGGTCCTCAGAATCCCGATTATTCGGCATTATGACATTCTTAGGATGATGCGTGCACTTTCCCATATGAGGGCGCTATCCAAGTTCAAGCTCCTCGCTCTTCATTTCCTATGATATTCTGAGTGATATTGCTCCACGTAGGTCTGCACATAGTTGACTTTGATTGTTTCCAGTTTTGCAGTAACAGAAGCTGAAATGAGGTTGTGCATGGTTCAGCTTCATCTAAAAATTCTTGCTTGTAGGGCTGTAGACAGAGCTCGGGTAGTCTTGTGTGCCACACACAGGCCCCGGGCTCAAAGGAAAGGGAAGCTTGTGGTTCTTCAACCTTGCTATGCTGGCTTTTACTCTTTTTTTTTTTTTTTTTTAGGGAAATTTTCTTCTGTTTTGCCTGCATATATGTCTGTGTGAGGATGCTAGGTCTGCTGGAACTGAAGTTACAGACAGCTGCCATGTGGGTGCTGGGAATTGAACTCAGGTCCTCTGCCATCCCTCCAGCCCTGGCTTTTACTCTGTATCAGAACAATTAATGAAAAACTATTTCTTTTGTTTGTTTGTTTGTTTTTACGAGACAGGGTTTCTCTGTATTGTTTTGGAGGCTGTTGGTCCAGCCTGGCCTCGAACTCACAGAGATCCGCCTGCCTCTGCCTCCCGAGTGCTGGGATTAAAGGCGTGCGCCACCACCGCCCAGCAAAAAACTATTTCTTTGTGAGCTATTTTGATGGATTCTATCCTGAGAATTACTGGACAAAGCTTTAACATTTAGTTTTATATAGAATATTTTAATAAAATCCATTACCAAACCATGAGAAGGCAATGTCCAAAAGGTTAGGTAGTCCACTGGGTAGGTCATCTGCCATTCTATCTTGTCGGTCTCCCTGGAGAATTCTCAGTGAATGTTCGCAGTCACCATCAGGCACTAAGTAGTTGACCTTTAGTCCTCTTGAACATTGGGGTGGTCTTACCCTTAGTTTGGAACACTTGAGTGCTTGGTGAGTTTTGGCAGAGAATGAATATTAGCTGCCAGTATGATGGGGTATAGTGGGAAACACAGACCTGAGTGTTACATCTGGAACCAGGGTTAGAAGGACATGCTGAGATCTCTGGTCCTAGTCGTCGTTCCCCCCCGACAACGTTTCTCTGTATTGTTTTGGAGGCTGTCCTGGAACTCGCTCTGTAGACCAGGCTGGCTTCGAACTCACAGAGATCCGTCTGCGTCTGCCTCCTGAGTGCTGGGATTAAAGGCTGTGTGCCACCAATGCCTGACTTGGTCTTAGTCTTCATACTTGGTTATTCTATGGCATGAAAGCCCAAGTCCTTCCATGTAATCATATAGAACACAGTGCCCCTCCCCAGTACTTTCCTCCTAGCTTAGGACGTATTCAGACCAAATAGGAGGAACCCCTAGAGGTGGAAGGTGACAAGAGTTTGAATTTTTTCCCCCATTAATGGCTACCAGAGGCAGAGACACATGCTAGTAAGAACCTAGTCTTTTTTTCCTTGGGTATAGACGTTACCTTATTTTAAAAATTAAGATCATGTATATATTAGAGTCATCAGTAAGATTTTTGATAAAATACAGGTTCACTGCTGTCACTTGCCTTTCCTGTGAAAGCCCCTTCCAGGTTGTTTGCATTTATTGCTGTATAAACATTACTAATTACCCTACCCCCCTTTTGCCAGTTGTGTTGAGAGACATCTGGTTGTCAGCCCTAGTGGTTCTCAATTGGGATGATTTTTCTTCCTGTCTTCACATGTGAAAATACTACAGACATTTTTTTATTTTTTTATTTTTTTTTTTGGTTTTGGTTTTTCGAGACACGGTTTCTCTGTGGCTTTGGAGGCTGTCCTGGAACTAGCTCTTGTAGACCAGGCTGGCCTCGAACTCACAAAGATCCGCCTGCCTCTGCCTCCCAAGTGCTGGGATTAAAGGCGTGCGCCACCAACGCCTGGCCATTTTTTGATTTTTAAAGTTAGTAGATGCTACTGACAGATGTTGCCCATGACCATTCCCCCCAAATGTAGAGGAATTCTAGTTGGACTAGGAAAACTTAGAAGGGTGAAAGTTCAACTGCTCAGAGTTCAAGACGTGAGGAGAGTAGTCACCAAAGTCGAACCTCCCTCTTCAGCACAGACAGCCTTTGTTTTGTTTGACTGATTGTGGGTTTCAGTTGCCGTGGTTTAGGTAAATACTGTCAACAACTTGGTTCACAGTCAGTCACCCTAGTGTGAGTCATTGCGTAAAGTGCAAACTTCAATACTAGCTTTTGAGTCTGCAAAACAGTTTTAAAAAATACCAGTTACTCATGATCAGTGGTCCAGCTCAGCTTCCAAAGTCTGCCGGTGACTGGGTTTTGTGTATCTATGATACTTCACTCACAGAAGACAAAGCTTTTGGCTGTAGCCTCCTTCCTGAGGTGGAAACACTAGGCCACTTCTCCTGTTCCTGGTCTGTGCTCCAGGCTTTTCTGGGGCTTGAATGACATTGTTTTTTTACCATTAGACACAACTCATCAATTCAGCCTTACAGTCACAGCATTACTTCAATTCTTTCTGTTTGGCTGGGTTTTTATTATAATTTTTTATGTTTTTGAAACAGGATTTCTCAATATAACAGTCCTGGCTGTCCTGGAACTCACTCTGTAGACTAGGCTAACCTTGAACTCACAGAAATCCACTTGCCTCTGCCTCTTGAGTGCTGGGATTAAAGGCCTATGTCACCACTGCCTGGCATTACTCCAATTCTCAAAGCTTCTCTTAGATAACCCTTTGCTGTTGCATCTAGAGATCTTGCAAATTGGCTGAAGTTGGGAGTAAGTTGAAAGCACCATGAGAGAAATGAGCAAGAACATTTGTTGTGGTATTGATTGACCTCAGGAGTCAAATCACACATAATTAGACAGGTAGGTGAATGCTACTGGGGTCTGTGGAGGGGCTATTTATTTATTTACTTGTGGTTGATTGGGTTTTTTGAGCCCAAGGGCATCGCTATGTAGTCCTGACTAGCCTTGGGGTTTGTGGCTCCTGCCACTACCTCCCTAGTGCTGGGATTACAGATGTGCAAATGGGGCTGCCACTTGACAGATTGTATATGGACAACCAGAGGGATTTAGTGAAGGTAAATTTACCAAGAAAAAAGGATGGGACTGTGATGTCAAGAATGCAGATGTCCCAGATGGAGTGACACTGACCAAACTTGATAGTTAGTAAGGGATCTCAGAGACATGGCGCAGTAAAGCTCAAAGGGTAAATAAAATGTTGGAAGCTGACCCTAAAACATGCCAGTATTCCCAGTGTCTTAAATTATAGTGTATTACTACATTGTATTCTTTAGTTTTATTCCAGTTATACAGGGTTGTGTCTCTTTTCTTTCTCTTTCCCTTCTCCCAGGATTTTGTAGCTCAGGCTGGCTTCAACCTGTGTAGCTGAGGATGACCTTGTACCTCTGATCCTTCTGCCTCCTCCTACTGGGAATAGAGGCATGCATTACACCTAGTGTTATGTAATGAGCTCAGCTTCCTGCATGGTAGACAGACACTCTACCGATAGAGCTCCAGCCCTGGGTCTTCGATTCCTGAGCCTTTCAGGGGCCAGCTAAGCAGTCACCCTTCAGGGCTCAAGTCTTCCTGTCTGCTCTAATATCTGTGGAGCAGTGATGCGCCTCCTTCCTTCCACTGTGGCATTTGCAGAGCAATGGTGCCTCTCCTTCCACTATGCCTCTCTCATAGTCTTTATGGCATTTCAAGGAGAGCAAACACAAACGTTTTCAATTTGCTTTTCTGGGGGTTTTTGAGTAGTTTATAGGTTAGTAACATTTCTTTTTTTTTTTTAAGTGAAAAATCAGGGCTGGGAGGTAGGTGGCTCAGCAGGTAAGATGATTTGATTGATGATTAGAACTTGGGTAAAATGCTGATCATGGGCGAGCAAGATGGCTCAGCATGGTAAAGGCATTTGCCAGGTAATCCTGTAGACCTTGGTTTAGTTCATTACTCAGAGCCCACATCAAAGAGAATGGAGAAAACCAGGATAGTCCCCTGATCACTACATGCACCCACCCACCCACCCACACATACCCACACACAAATAATGAATAAAATGTTCAAAATATTTTTTTAAATAGCTAAAAAAATCTGGCAAGATGCCTTGTCAGATAGTCCTGATTACCTGAGTTTGACACCCCAATGCCTGGAACCTACGTGATAGAAGAAGAGACCCATAGGTCGTCCTGTGACCTCCACACATGCATCATTGCATCCGTGTACCTTGTCCCCATAAAATTAGTTAATATTAAAGTAAAAACACTGGGTATATTGGTGTATGCTTGTAACTCTAGTGCTGAAGGGCAGAGACGGAGAGAGCTCAGGGTTTTGCTGGCAGCTAGTCTTACAAAAAAAGTTCAGGTTTCTGATATTTTCTGATATATATTCTCAAATATAAGACAGAGAGCAATAGAGGAAGATAGCTGAAGTTGACCTGTGACCTCAACATATGCACACACAGGTGAGCACCCCTCCCCCAACACACACATACACAAGGTGAAAAAATGTACTGAATGTTTACATGGAAAAGGTTTTCAACAATTAGGTGTAGGAAAGAATGAGAGAGACTCATTCCATTCCCCTTCTCAGACTCATTATCCAAAGGACAGCACTGCCAAAAGTATGCATACCTTTAAAAGAATTTTGTTCACACATATATGCTTTCATGGAATCTTTCTGGAAAATGAAACTTTTAAAAAATATTTATTCTTAAGCCGGGTATTGGTGGTGCACGCCTTTAATCCCAGCACTCGGGAGGCAGAGGCAGGAGGATCTCTGTGAGTTCAAGGCCAGCCTGGTCTACAGAGCTAGTTCCAGAACAGCCTCCAAAATAATACAGGGAAACCCTGTCTCGAAAAACCAAAAAAAAAAAAATATATGTATATGTATATGTATATATATATATATATATATATATATTCTTTGACAACTTCAACTTCATTTGAACATATTCACATACATTCCTCTATCTGTCTCTCTCTCTGTCTCTGTGTTTCTCTCTGTCTCTCTCTGTATCTCTCTCTCTGTCTCTCTCTGTCTCTGTGTCTGTCTGTCTCTGTGTCTCTCTGTCTCTCTGTGTCTGTCTGTCTCTCTCTCTCTGGTTTTTCAAGACAGGGTTTCTCTGTATAACAATCCTGGCTGTCCTGGAACTCGCCTTGTAGACCAGGCTGCCCTCAAACGCACAGAGATCTGCTTCCTAAGTGCTGGGATTTAAGGACCTCTTGGGCCATGGGCTCTTGGGGAGGTTTACAGTACCAGGTATTAATGCTCCCTCTTGTGAAGCAGACCTTAGAAAGTGGTTGGCTGCAAGTTTCCATAATCTTCTTGCCACTCTTGTTGCATCAATAGGCACATCTTGTCTTGCAGGTTATGATTGTAGCATCCAGGGTCCAGCTGTGGCTTTGCCAATGACTTTCAAAGTGGCCTTCTGACACTATGAAGGCAGCCAGTAAGAAGGACATTTCCAGGTCAGTTCTAGCTTGATGTCCTACAATCAAAGTATGTGGTATCCTCAGCAATAGGCGAGTTGTAGAGGGCAACCAAGAACAAAGGCCATAGTTTATACTTCTTGAAGACTTCTGTGATCTCTATGACCATCATAGGATGGTATCCTGAGCCTGGTCCTGAATTTTTGTTTAATAGCCCATGGTTTGTGGGAGTAACATTATTCATCATCTGTGCATGGTGTCTCTATTCAAACTCCTCTTAAAAGATTATATCTAGGCAGCTTCTTGGGTCTAGAAGTCTGAGACTAGAAGAAAACCAATTCCCACTGTTTGCTAGACCAGCATAATTCCTTACTCATTCTAAATCTTGGTCTATTCCCATAGGTAAGTATAGCTGCCATCCCTCACCAAAGAAGCCTCGTTTTACAGAAAATGGCATCTGTAACAAAAGCCACAACTGGACATGTGCAAAGATCAACAGGATGTGAGGAGCCTAGCCCCAGTGAATACATGTACATCACAGCTCCTGCATCTATGGTCAGGGGACATTGCAGAAGAAGGGGCAGAAAGAGTGTAAGAGCCAGAATTCCAGGAATGCTGTGAAATAGTCTTTCCTAGAAATGGCTGCTAGAACAATGGAAATATCAATGGACATGCTAAGGAGGAAAGGGGAAAGTTTCCTAAGGTTCCACCCCTAGACAAAGAAGTACAGGCAACTACTGACTGCTGTGAGCAGGAGGATTGGACTCTCCCAGGAATGAGGCCCCCTTATTGGTTGTCCAATCCAGAGTGATTAACCCTGGAATCATATACACACAAACAACAAAAACAAACTCGGCTGGTTGTATTTATATATTTCTGTATGCACACACACCCATAATAAAAAAAGTTATCAACTTCAGAGTTGGTTCATGAGAGGAGTTAGAGGGAGGCAATGGGAGGGGGAGTCATGTAACTGTTTCAATTAAAATATATTTTAAGGTGAGGAGGTAGTTGTGCTTACCTTTAATCCCAGCGTCTGGGAGGCAGAAGCAGGCAGATCTCTGCATTCCAAGCCAGCCTTTTCTATAGTGCAAGTTCCAGGACAGCCAGGGCTACACAGAAAAACTCTGTCTCAAAACCAAAATGGTAATAAAAATATATATTTAAAACTATATTTTAAATGAGCATATGAAGTAGTGGGTCTGCATAAGGCTTCCCATACCTCCTTAGTTTTGGTTAACTTGCCCCCAAACACCTCCTATCCTCCCATTCTCCCTACCCCATCCCTGAGCTGTTTACTCTTGGTAAGCCTCCTTGGCATCTAGAAATCAGATGGCTTCATTTCTAGAATGAATGTCAATCTTGAAACACCGATAAGCCTCCTATCATAATGGACGGACAAACACTGCGCAATCCTGCCAGTGCTTATTTGCAAGTGGCCTTAAGTGTTGCAAGCTGGGCTACTGTGGGCCAGGCTGGGCTTTCAGTCTTTATTACCTGCTTGGCAGCAAATAAAAGCATTTGCTCTCATCTGCCTCACTCCTTCACCTTCAGGCAGTATAAAGCTGCTTGCAGAGCAAAGGTTAGCCCGTCGAGGCTTGCTCAATAAGTGCTTTGGTGTCCCCTGTAAGACCGCATGGCACGGTGTGCCTGATCTGCTGGTCCTTTCCTCCAATATATGATATTTGCACACATCTTAATTACCCACGCTCTTCCCTTGCTTTCGTCAAAATTGTGTTCAGTGCCCTTACTTTCTTGATAAGGTCACTGAATTCATTCTCTACAGTGTGAAATGTTTTCTATTGCTCATCTGCTTCAATTTTTGTCTGGACTAAGAACCCTAATTTTTAAACTTCTGATGTTTCTTATTTTCTTTTTATTTGTGCATGCATGCGTTTGTACATGCACACGCGTATGGAGGTCAGAGACCCAGAGGTGTCAACCTCTATTGCCCTCCAACTTACTTTTCAAGTCAGGGTCTCTAAGAACCTGAAGTTTGTTGTTTCTGTGAGGCTGCCTGACCAGCAAGCTCCAGGGGGTTTACTTTACTCTTTCATCTGATTATAAAATTCGGAGGGTTGAGAAGGGTCAGGCAGCTGGACATCAGTGGAGATGGTGAAGACGCTACTACCAAGCCTACTTTTGTGATGGTTGTACTCTGAAATGATGCACAGGCTGCTCACCGCAGGACTTGTCTTCCTGAAGGCTGGGCTGTCATTCTAGCTGCAGGTGATGCTGGGGTCTTGGTCTCTGCTGAGCACACTGTGGTGCCGTGCCGAATGCTTCCTTTAAAAAAGAGCAAGACGGTTGTTTGCTGGGAAATGGTAGCAGGTCTCCCTGCCTGGGATATTATTGCTGAAGACCTAGATAGCAGGTCTCCACTTCCATTCATTCTATTTCTGGAAGCAAATGTTCTCTAATTGCAGGCTGGAGCTGAATGCTTCACAGTGTTTCCCACTGTGCTAATTGGAAAAATATAATTTTCAACTCACTGTGTCCTGCTTTGCACAATAACGGCTGGCAGCTGGATTCCCAGTTCAGCTCCTCAAGTGAACTAGTACTTTGTAGTTAAGTGTGAAGGACAATGGACCCTTGGGGGTCCCAGAGGAAGCCTGTACTGCATGAAGAACCATTGGAGAGTGTCCTTCAGCCTGAAAACATGCACCCATCGACTTCTGGCTTGTTCTAAGAGCCTCTATTAAGTTTAATTTCAATTAAAATTTTAGGGAGCCAGCTCCTGGGAATATTAATCAATATGGCCCATTAGTCGAACAGTCCTTTTACGGGTCGCACATTCCTTATTGACCTGGAATGAAGGTAATTTTCTTTTACCTAACATCTTGGCTCCTAGCAAGCTCTCCTCTGGCCTCAGTGTGTCCAGCCTCACCAGCCTTCTGAGAATCACACCAGCATGGGAACAGAGAGCAGGTGAGTAGCACTTGCGTTTAGAATCTGGTTTTTCCTTTAGATGGGTCTAAGTCTTCCCACGTAGAATCATCACCCATCAAAGAGGAAGAATTTGCACTCCGAACTTTCTGTGGAAGCAGAGATCTCACTGCCAGCAGGATGCCTCCCCTGTGAAACTGTGGGCTGAGTAACACAGGCTTTGGACCTGACCTGTCTGGGCTCAGATTCCAGCTCTACCCCTTCCAGTTGGGTGGCCTGGGAGGCTGATTCATCTAGCTAAGCATCGGTCGCTCTTCTAAAGGCTGGCGATGATGATAACACATCTCAGGATTTTCATGAGGATTAAATAAAATAATGTGTGTGATCTGTGCAATGCCTGACCTCAGCCCTCTGTCATGTTTAGTAACTGATGCTATTCTCCAAACAGGGTTTTTTTTTTTTTTTCTCGGCTGCTGCTCATGCTTTTATTGCCTCCTTCCTGTTTTCCTCTTCCTCCTCCCTGAGTTTTGCTGTGTAACTCAGGCTGATCTGGGACATCCCTGCACTGCAGCCTCCCAACTACTGAGATTACAAGCTTTGGACTTCGCAACTTTCCTAACAAGGTAATATAATAGTGGACTCGGTATAGTGTGTGATGTGACAAGCAGATTTTCTGAACTGGTAAATTCATCTGAAGTCTGAGGTAAGAGTGTGTGACCTTGTATTAGTTCAGTTTAGGTTGTGCTGTGTACAAGAAATCTCACTCTGTTGTAACAGCTCCAGGATGATCAGGGTGCAAAGACAGGCTCTTTCGTCTGGATCTGTCTTCAACATGTGGTTACCATCTCCAAAACCAAGTACCCAAAGCCACCAGTTTATCCCACTGGTAATGGCAAGTTTGATTTCACCAGAGTCCTAATGAGCAGAACTAGTACATATGCCTTAGTCAGGTGTATACATATATTGCAGATGGTGGGTACACATCCCACTCCTGGTACCAATTTGCATCAGGATCCAGTCAGGAGACAGAAATTGTGGGGTTTGGGGCTTTGGTTTTTAATTGCATGTGTGTTTTCCTCAATCATTCTCCACTTTATTCACTGAGACAACTTCTCTTAATTCAACACAAAGTTTGTCATTTTGTCTAGTTTTGTTAGTGAGCTTGCTCTAGAGATCCCCTGTCTCCACCTTGGGGTGCTGGAATCACAGGTGGTCTTCTAAGCCTGACATTTGCTTGGGTGTGGGAGATCTGAACTCTGGTCCCCTTGATTGCATGGGGATACTTAGCCCACTAACAATCACTCCATCCCCACCCCCAACAGAGAATTTAGTCTTTGAATTTTAGTTGGTAAGTAGCTGTAAAGTGATGACTAGGTAACTGAGACAGTAAGGAGGACTCCAAGGTATTACTGAAGCAGGAATAAGAAGGCAGGAGGGGGAAAGGATGCATGGATGGAGTTACCAAAAAGGGAACCTTGTGCACTGTGTCCTTGCCGAAGAGTCATGTGGCTTAGTTTTGTGGGATAGGGTCCAAGATGCCAAGTACAGAGCGCTAGCGGCTGGCGAGGGCAAGCACTATGAGGACCGGCCAGTTCTGTGAGGGCCAAAGGGGAACTGAGCAGTGAGAAGTTAAGTGCTGAGTGAAGAACTGCAAGCTTACCTTTTCGGAAAAGGAAGCTGAGTTGGAAGAAGTTCCTTTTCCTTTCTTCAGTATCAAAGCCCCCGGTTGGCAGAGCAAACCTGCAGACACTGGCAAACGATCCTGGAAGAGTTTCCATCACCCTCAGCAGAGCAGAGCAGGCTGGACTTGAAGCTGAGCTGCCATGGCTGCCCAGACCATGCAGGTGGTTCCCGCAGCTGCTCTCCCCTTCCGATGTGTTCCTTGCTCTGAGGAATGGTGACCTATCTGAGGGATGATCCTCAGACGTCATGGCACAACCATCCTGTACCAAGTGACTTCACTATCTGTGGGTGGATCTTGCATGGAACACCAGTCGCTAAGGAGACTTCATAATTGGGTTCCTATTTTTCTCATTCCTCTCACAATTACTACGTGGCATTCACTGTAAGGGAGAACTTCCTCATCTCCCTCACACTCTGCCCTGAGAGGTGTTTTCTTGTTGGCTGGATTTGGAGTTCTACTGAGGATTATGAGGAGAGCATGTACACAAGTGTCAACCCCTGGGTTCACTGTGACACTCCTAAGCCTGCATAGTCTCTTCACGGTGTTTGAATCCTTGACTAACCTGAATTGTATAAACCTCGAGCAGAAAGAAGGATTGACAGCTTGAGCTCACAGCTGGTGTTCTTTATTTAGGGTCTTCTTTCTCCTGAGAGGACAGAATGGTCCAGTGGTTGGAATCACCTTGACACTTGGATATATGCCTTTTCCGGGGATCCTGTGATGCCACACAGGTAAAGCCTGGGTGTCGAGATGTTTGACTCTCTTGTGGGGACTCCAGTATTCTTGAAGGACCGAGAACCCTGAAGTAGACAACTTAGATGCAGTGTATCAGGACTTGTGGTTAGAGTCCGTTGGGTAGGACTGGGAACAGAACCAGGAGTATACGTTGGTATGACTGCATCGGGACTTCTGGTTAGAGTCCATTGGGTAGGATTGGGTAAACAGAACCAGGAGTATATGTTGGTATGACTTGCTTTCAAATCAGCACTTTCAAAAATCCATCTACAGCTAGTGTGTGACCACTGGCATAGTTACGGATTTGATTTACCACCTTCAAAAAGGGTCACTGTTCTTAACATTTATTGCAACTCCTTTGGTTTAGATCCAGGTAATTGGCCCTAAGTACTTTTCATGACCCCAATTTCAAGCCTGTTTGCGCTATGTAAAAGTGGGAACACAGTTATCTGTCTTAAGGATGGAGTGAGGGATAAGTAGGTGCTGTTATCTGCTGGGTCTTGTGTTACACACTGAATATAGGTGTGGTGATTCACGCCTGTAATCCTGGAACCCAGGAGACAGAGCCAGGAGGACTTGCAGAATGAGACCCTGTCTCAAGAGAATGAAACAAACAAACAAAAAAATCCAAAAGGCAAAAATACCAACCTGTCGTCAAGTATTTCATCCATAAAAAGGTAAAAAGAATAAATAAGTCAGGCTTACTTATTGGGTATAACTAAGTCAGAAAGCATGCGCTTAGCAAGTAGGAGGCTTAACGTCAATCTCCAGCACCCAAACACAAAACCCAACCAAGTAATAACAAAGCAATTAAATAAACTACTGAGCATATTTGTTCCCCATACTAGAAACATGTATTTCACTATTTTCATAAGACTGTGTTTATAACTTGCTCTTCAACGTTTTACTCAAATCTACGTGGAGTTGCAAAGTGTAATGAAATCACTGCATGAGAAGAACAAGCAAAAATACTACCAGACATCCGGCAGCATTTCAACTTAGGAATTTGTACTCTTTTTAATGTTACATAGCTAAAAAATTAAAAGTTATGGGGCTAGTAAGATACCCAGTGGGTGAAGGAGCTTAACTGGAGTGTGAACCCTGAACTCCAGAAAGGAGGGAGAGCCAAGTCCACATAGCTGTCCTCTGTTGTTCACATGTGTGCTATGACATGTGCACCCATATATACACACACCAAACACACACATGAATAATAAACAATTTTCAGGAGTTACACAATTTAAGATGATAAAATGGTGAATACCTCGCAGCTTGAGAGTTCAGGACTTGGATGTGTCTTCTGTTTTTCAATTACACACAAATACATATCCCTAAGAATGGACAACCGCATTTTGCATGTCTTTAGGACATATGTAATCTTATACACATTACTTCCTTTTTGCTTGACATGCCAGTGAAATCTCCATTAATACCTGTAGCTCTGGCCACTCGTGACCAACTTGTTATCTGTTCTCATCAACTTTTTTTTTTGTTGTTTTTTTTGAGACAGGGTTTCTCTGTATTGTTTTGGAGGCTGTCCTGGAACTTGCTCTGTAGACCAGGCTGGCCTCGAACTCAGAGAGATCTGCCTGCCTCTGCCTCCCAAGTGCTGGGATTAAAGTCTCATCAACATTTTGATGATTTCAAATTTTGGGCAACTCAAAGCACTTCTGGAGGGGGGCTGTTGGAGGAACAAGGGAGGGGGGCTGGTGGAGGGACAAGGGAGGGGGTGAGGTGGAGGGATAAGGGAGGAGGGGTGGGAGAGGGAGCTGGGACTGACATGTGAAGCATGCATGTTTCTAATTTAAATAAAAACATATAAAAAAGCGCTTCTGATTTGAGGATATAGATAGATGGCAGACTACTTGCCTAGAATGTGGGAGGCCCTAGGTTCAATTTCTGGATTTAAAAAAGCAAAGAGTGATGCTATTAGCATTCCTTTAGGGGTAGGGTGTGTGTGGGGGTAGAACCCAGGACCTTGAACATGCTAGGTATGACATATGACATCCCCAGCCATTCATTAGCTTTTTTATAAAGGTTTCCCTGGGTGTTTCTGCCCAAGGGTAGAGTTGTGTGTCTTACAGTCTTTGGTTTTAGTTTAGACATTGGCTGAATTTTCTCAGGAGCAGGAAGTTTTAGATCTGCATCTTGGCCAACATTCAATATTGCCAACTATGTTATTTGCTAAACTTAACAATTCTATCAGGTATCTTTTTCATTTCGGTTAAAGACTCAAGTATCCAATATTAAATTATATAAAATAAAGGCTATTAAATAGTAAGCAATTGAATCTGGCCCAGGTCTGCTAGATTCCAAAGCTCTTGGTTAGCACAAAGACATGGAGGAACGTCTGAAGCTGTGTCTAGAACTGAGTATCAGTAGGTGTGAGAGACTGACCAAGATCTGGGTTTACAAATGAGAAGTGCAGGAGGGAGAGAGGACACGGATGAGCAGACAGCAGGGTATAATGAACTGTAGCGCCAACATGCAAGGCTGGCGTTAGGGAGAGAAACTGACAGCTGAAAGCTTGATGCACACTCTTTGACCCTCTTTCCACAGCTGTGAAGCCTGAGCTTAAAGGTCCTTCAACTGCTTTGCTGCATGGACCTGGTCAGAAAAAAACTACTAGTCTCCAGGTCCAGGCCTTAAGATACTGATAGCTTCTGCTTATCTCTCAGATGACTTCCTCTGTGGGAAAGGTAATTGTTGTGTAAAAAAAAAAATTGCTGCAGGGCATAGTAGTGCACACCTTTAATCCCAGCACTTGGGAAGCAAAGGCAGGCCGATCTCTATGAGTCTGAGGCCAGCCTAGGCTACATTGTGAGTTCCAAGACAGCTAAGGCTATGTAGAGAAACCCTGTTAAAAATAAATGAATGGTGCTCCCTAACTTGGTGCATTGTGGGATATCCCAGCTGCCTCCCACTTGCCACCGTGGGAGCCAGTCATCTCGGAAGTCAGGTGAGATCCTGCTTGATGACAGTGGAGCAGAGAAGGCTAGCTGAGCTGAACCGTGTCTGGATTCCCCATCTTCCACAGTGCTTGGTTTAACTGCTATGGTTTGTTTCTTAGCAATTCTAGGGCTCTACCTAAAGTAGAGGTTGAAGTGAAGATATTTTTATCCTTTGTAGAGATCACAAAATATGTATATTTCAAGGCTGAAGTTTGCCTAATTCATTAGTTCACTTTTCTTGTGTTACATAAAAAGCATATTGTGAATTGCTAACCTGTGACTTCCAGCCCTCTGTCTTCATTTCCCAAGTTCTGTTCTGGTCTTTGCTTGAAGTGCATACTAAAATTACAATTAAAGATGTAATCATGGAACAGATAAATATAATTTAGATTTCCTGTGTTATATAATTTTGAGATGAGTTTGACCAAAGGGAATTCAGACGATAATTAGGATGGCACAAATTAGTCAGAACTGGCGCTAATTGATCCCCCACTTGTTTTATCTCATTTACTGTTCACAATAACTCAGTTGGGAAGTTACACCTTCCTGAGGAAATGATTAAGGCATTGGAGAGACTGAGAAAGCCATTTGAGGTCACAGCCTGAACAAGAGGGAACATATCACCCAGGGATAGAGGAAGTACACGGAGACATTCAACTGACACACCAATCTGAAAGAAGCAAGGGTTTGGATATCCACTGGAACGCTTCTTCCAAGGTGAGTGGGTCTTTACAGGTTATTTAGAATGGGGCTTATAGCCAAGTCTGGCAACCTGTGTTTGTTCCCAAGAGCCGTATGGTAGAAAGAAAAGAACGGTCCTTTGACCTCCATGTGTACTCCACATCACAAAAAACAAAATTTAAAATGTAGAGAAATTGTTTAGAGACTATCAGCATAGCTTGGCATGTGCTTTCACAATTATTCCCAAAGAAAAGCCTGTAGCCCCGGGAGATCTGGGTGCCACAATGGATACTGCCTAGGCTCCAGTGTGTGCAGAGAAAGGAGTCTTCATGTGAAACTTGGTGCCTATACTTTGGGGTCTTTAAAGCCAATAAAAATAGGTGTATGATTTGAAAGAAGGAAAATGAAGTCCAAGGGGTTATTTTTGGCTGTTTGAGGATTTGGTTAATCCCAAATTAGCCAAATTTAATTTGAGCTCTTAAATTATTATTAATATTTCCTATATAAACAAATAGTATAGGGTTGGCAAGATGACTCAGTTGGTTAAAGGTGTCTGTTGCCAAGACTGGTGCCATGGTCGAAAGAAAGAACCGACTCCCACAAATTGTCCCTCTGACACAAAGGCACATGCCTCCTTCCCTCCCTCCCTATCACAAACTGATTGATTGAAATGTCCAAAAATGAGCCAAGAAACAGTGTTAGACTAAACACAGCCCTATTCACAAACACGACTAAAGACAGTGATAATATTACTGAATGGCCGCCATGCAATGTGGGCGTTCCCAATGTGGAGATACTTGAGACACAGGGACCTTCACAGGCCAAATCTGGCTTTGTCCCAAGCCTCTCCGCCTTGCCTTTTTGGAACTTTCTACTAAACAGGGCAGAGTTCGTGGGTAGGAGGCACTGGGTTACTTGAAGAGGCGGGATGATAAGAAAATGCCAGACAGGTGGAGGAGATACATGTTTTGCAGAGATAGGGAGGCTGTTCCTGGGGTTACTTTGCAGAGCCCCAGACTGAGGGATACCAAGTGATGGTTACCTCCTTGCTCCTTTCTGTCTAAGCCTTCGTGACTTTCAGGAGCAGGGATGAAGGTGGAGGTGGGAGGGGCGTAGGGGTCAGGGTGGAAGGGCTGGGACTGACAGTTGGGGTCATGAGGGCCTTTTTGTCTGTAATAACACCAGATTGTTTCCCAGACAAAATACTACTTCACAACCGTTGTCACGTAGAGTTTTGCTCTTTGTTGAGGGACAAGCCAGAACATGCACTAAGAATTTGCCTTTGTTTGGTGTTGGGGCCACACAAATTTCCCATGCTGTTAGCCTTACCCTGGACTCACAGGACTTTTGAATCCTGGGGTTGGCAAGAAATACTAAAGATGTAGTGAAGGTGAGGTTATGAGTCTCAAGATGTTGGAGGTAGTTTCTTCAATGAGACTAGTATTTGGAGCCTCCTTCCCTTTGAGTTTCTTCAGTATCGGGGCAGAACACACACGAGGCGGTGCTATCCTAATATCCACCAAGCCCCTGTTCCCAGAAGCTGCAATTTCTGTCTGGGCTGTAAGTGATCCTAGCTTGAAGCAGTCAAGACAGGTCAAGTGTATCTTCTTCCAGGACAGACATGTAAAAAACTCTAGTCTATTCAGGGTGAATTTGGGGACTTTTGCTGGTGTTGTTGGGGTGGGGAGGGACATGCAGCCTTAGGCTTCCATCCACGGAGCACTGGTCCAAGCCTTTGTCAAGTCAAGAAGCAGGTCCTATCAGTAAGCTACTGTGTGAAGCCTCCCTGTGTACTTTTCAAGATCACTAGTGGTTCAGGCCAGTTTGGGCTGCTTCCTCACAGATGAAACAATCCTGAAACAGCCCCGCTTGATACGAGGCATGCTCTCAATAGAGAGGTTTGGAAGAGATGGGAATCTTTAATGTTTTGGGAGAGAGCACTACAGTCAGAGTCAGGTCCTGTAAGCAGGCACAACTCTTGGACTGTGGGTTCCTGGACAGGCAGCCCTGGCTGACCGGCTCATCCTGGCATCCCCTGGTAGAGGTAGAACCCTTCTTCTTAAAGGTGAGAGAGTCTTCAGTTCTCTGCCCTGAGTGTGTGTGTGTGTGTGTGTGTGTGTGTGTGTGTGATCCAGCAGTCAGCCAGGCAGTTGAACTCCCACACCTATTCCAAGCTCCCCATGGTTAACCCCTTGTAATCGGCATGCCTGTGGGTGGGGGCAGCAGAAGTATATCTTCCCTGTGAGCTGGCACCCGCACCCTGCCTCCATCCTTCCCCGTCAAAACTCTGCCCCCTCCCCCCTTTGGTTTCTGTAGCTTCTTCCCTCTGGGCCCCACGATGAGCCAGAGATACATTTCTGAGCCCTATCTGGCGCCTTTCACCTATCAGCCCGAGGCAGCTGTGGGCCTGCGGGCCTCACCCAGTCACACTGCCTTGATGTTCAGGTGTCCTGGTGATCCCATCCCGCAGGTTGTGCCAGGGTCCCTCTTGTTTCTGTTCTGCCTGATTGTTCAACAAGATTTTCTTCTCGGGAGGATTAACAAAAAAAAGTCCGGGGGAACAAGAAATGATTTTAAAATGAATATAAAATTGCAGTACTGAAAATAGTTGAACACTACTAGCCCAAGGACTGGCATCTTCTTATTGGAACAGAAATGGACCTAAGTCTACTGTAAATGAAAATTTACCATGCGGGCAAAGTGGGCAAAGCATAGGTCGATGTTTCTCAGTTGGGCTGGACTTCCCCTTCCTAAGGACCATCTGCAGTGAAAAAACTTAGTCAGTGGACTCTTTAACTATCTCCAATAAGGTCTAGAAGAATCACATTCTATCCTTGTGACAAGGACTTTTGCAAGCATACAGAGTGGAAATGATGAAAGTAATATTAGTACGGTTAACCCACAGTCATGCAAGAGCACTGATCAAACCATATACGAAACAGGAGCTGTAAGCCAGGGGACAAAGGGTTAATAGTCTCAATATGCCAAGAGCTTTCAGAAATAACTGAGAAAAATAAGAGATCACAATAAAGACAGGCAAAAGAAATGCACGACAAGGAATGTTGCAGAAAGAAAGGAGGAAGGAAGGAAGGAAGGAAAGAAGGAAGGAAAGAAAGAAAGAAAGAAGGAAGGAAGGAAGGAAGGAAAGAAGGAAGGAAAGAAAGAAAGAAAGAAAGAAGGAAGGAAAGAAAGAAAGAAGGAAGGAAAGAAGGAAAGAAAGAAAGAAGGAAGGAAGGAAAGAAGGAAGGAAGGAAGGAAGGAAGGAAGGAAGGAAGGAAGGAAGGAAGGAAGGAAGGAAGGAAGGAAGGAAAGTCAGACAGACACAGCCCAGGCCTGGTGGCACACCAGGCTCGGGATGCAAAGGTGAGCAAGGGTAGCTTGAGTTCCATAGTGAGGTCAGATCAGGCAAGGCTGCATGCATGCAAAACCCGTGGTGGAGTGGGAGGGGAGATGAAGAAGGAAATGAAAAGAGGAAAAGAAAAGAGAAATGAAAGAGTGAACAGCCAGTCAGCTGGTGGTGCATGCCTGCAATCCCAGCACCTGGGAGGCAGAGGCAGAAGGACCCAGAGTTTGAGACCAACTGGACTGCAAGATGAGACCTGATCATTAAAAGGGGGGAGGGGACTACACGCGGTCAGCCAGGGATGTTTAATTTTCTGCAATGAGCAGAGAATCAGAAGTTGTGCCTTTATTAACCTGGAAAAGATGGAAAGTGGTAAGAAGGACACTATCCTACATCTGTGTTAGGGCAGAAGGAAGAAGCAGAAACTCTCTTGGATGATGAAGGCTTAAGGTTACAGCACTCTGGGTGCCATATAATTCTCTTGCAATAAAATGCACCCATTTTCAGGATATGACAAGATTTAATAAATGTGCAGACCAAGGTAAACATCATCGTAATAAACTTAAATAAATTTTAACTGGCAAAGCTCAAGATCTGTCATCGTCCACGTTCCCTCTTAGTCCTTTGCAGCCAACTTCCCTTGTTCTTGTTTTTCGTTGTCATGGTTCGCCCTTTCTAGAATTTCTTGGAAATTAGATAAGACAGTTGTGCCTAGGTCTTTAACAAAATGTCTGTGAGATTTTATATGCTGCTATGGATATCTGAAACAATTCTCTTTCTTTTGCTGGGTAATATTCCATTGCATAAGCATGCCATAATTTTTAATGACCGTCACTTTTAAGCTGCAAATAAGGTCTTTTCAGCCCAGCAGTAGTGATCTTTGGAGCCACTGGAGGTCTACAGATGGGACATGCAGGACTTCGCTCCCACCTCCTGGGAACATCGGCTTCTTCTTGCCCTGCGATGAAGAGTAGAGCCAGCCTTCTGCTGCTTATTTAATATGTTAAAAAATTACTGCACACATAATATAAGGCAACACAAAAACATTCCAACTAAAAGACAAAAATGAGAAGTATATACAGTCCTGTTCAGCTCCACAAATTGATTTAGAGACTCAATAGAAATTAAAAGACCACAAATCCTTCACCATCTGCCCCTTTAAGAGGCCCACCTTTTTTCCTAGAATGCATATTTATCTTTCCTTCTATGTAGACATTAATATATTTATAGAATAATACATTGCTTTCTTATTTTAAAATATCAAAACATTTTAAAATAATACATACATATGGTTTTAAACAAATCAAAGAAACAGACTTTTTCTTAAGAGCACCTACTATGTACATGTTGGTGAGCATCTCCCTAGCATTTACAAGGTCTGATATGCATTATGCATTATAACCTGGGGGTAGAGAAATGTCTTCGAGGTTCAGAGCATGTACTGCTCTTCCAGAGGTTCCAACTTTAGTTCCCAGAATCTACATCTAGAGGCTCATAGCTACCTGTAACACCAGTTCCAGGGGATCCAAGACCTTCTTCTGATCTCCTTGGGTGCCTGCACACATGTGGTACACACACACACACACACACACACACACACACACACACACACACACACAAATAAAAATAAATCTTAAAATTTTTTTTTTAAAAACCAAGTGGCTGCAGAGAACGCTCAGTGGTAAGAGCACCGCCTGCTCTTCTGGAGGACCTGGGCTTAACCCTCAGCCTCCACATGGAAGCTCATTTCTGTTGTGTCTCCAGTTCAGGGGATCCAACACCCTCTTCTGGACTCCAAGGGAAATGTTCCTGTATACACATGCAGGCAAAACACAGATACACATAACATAATAATAATAACAATAAATACAAAAAACCTAGAACTAAAGTAAATCCAGGTTTCCATGTTCTTGACTTAGCATAGTGACGTGGCAATCTCCCTTGTCCCTGATACCTGGATTTATTATTTGCGGTGTGTGTGTGTGTGTGTGTGTGTGTGTGTGCGCACACACACACACACACACACACACACACACACGCATGGGTGTACATGTAGCCAGTGTCTTTACCCACAGAGCCATCTCACTGGCTCTGACAAGTGGATTTCACAAAGGGCTTCAGGTCACCAACTTCTGATTCAAGCCTTGTGTGAGTTTATCTGATTGGTGGAGCCCTGAGTCCACATCTTCCTATAGAGAACCTGGGAACTTGAGCCTCTGGCATTTCTGTTTGTATTGAGGAAGAAAGTTTGCCTTCAAAAAAGGGGATTCCCTTAACATAGGGGTGCAAAATGTAGGGGTCCCAGGGGATAGAAATTGCCTACTATACACACATGTGGTACACACACCCTGCAAACTCTAAACATCATGTTTTATCTGCTCCCGGTCTCTTCCTCTCTCTTTATTCTAGGTCCCTCATCCTCCTCTTGGGCTGTGAGAAGCTCCCTCTTTTCTTAGAGGTGCTGTGGAGGCAGGTGCTTATGGTTGATGGATCGTCCCCTGCTACACCGCATGGGAGAAAGGACGGCAACTCACATGCCTGTCTCACCGAGTGATGCCACGCTCTGCATGATGCCTGGTACCTGTTCTGAGCTGCAGAGAAGAGTGCATTCCACTCTCATACAGGCAGAGCTCCACCTTATGCTCATTGTGTTAGATAGTGAACGACTTGTTATTTCTTTTAAAAATACTTATTCTTTCATAATTTCACACCTCTCCATAGAGATAATGCAGTATGCTTTTATTATGTTTCCCTGTTATCCTCACTCATAAACCCTTTCCTTCCCACTAAACCATTTCTTCTTCCCAAAGACCTCTATCCTATCTTCATGATGTGTGTGTGTGTGTGTGTGTGTGTGTGACTACACCACTGAGAAATATGACCTTCCCCCACACAACTGTTACCAAGGGGCATATAGAGCCACAGGGAAGGATGGAACAGCCTCATGACCCCTTTCCCTACATGTGTTGGAATATGGGTGAAGTTGATTTCTTTTTAAGATTTTATTTTATTTTAACTATGCATACAGGTGGTATCTGTACACATGAATACAGATGTCAACAGAGGCAGAAAGAGAACATTGGGTCCCGTGGAGCTGGAGTTACAGGTGGTTGTGAACTTTGAACTCAACTGGGATCCTCTGGAAGAACAGTGCATGCTTCCAACTACTGAACCATCTTTTTAGCTCCAAGATCAGGACTTTCTTAAAAGCAACTTCTGCTGGGCATCAGGCCTCTGTCAGTCCTCCAGAATCTAATGAGTGCTGCACTGGTGTGCTTGCCTACCGCAGCCTGTGTCATTAGGAAGACTGCTTAGCTCAGCTGCAGAAGAATCCTAGTCCTCAGCACCTTTGGTGTGAAGCTGGGCCAAGTGGGTTTACCAGGAGTTGTTTCCAGCCAAGTCTCCATATGCCTGGTGGGTGGGTGTAGAAACCCGAGCAAGACTTGGCAGGGGATCTGCAGTGGGAACTGTCACAACCCAAACAGTCACCATGTACACAGTGCTTCACATGTCTCTTACATACGCCTGGAAACTGCAAGACTGTGCAACCCCTAGAAATAAATGGCTATGTTACAGGAAGTGCCCGGGACTCACCGGACAGCTTGCTATGTAGCATCTTCTAGGCATCTGAAAAATCGCTGAGTATTTACACTGTCACCTCCAGGGAAACATACCCAGGCCAGTCTTTCTACTAGTGGACTGAAATAAAGATTTTTGGTCATCTGACCTCCTCGCGCCTTGCTCTGGACTCGACAACTCGGTTTCTTTCTAATGAGTTTCCAGTTCAAGGTTAGATGCAGTTTGGGAGGAAGAATTCCTCACAGGCCAGGTGTAAGGACACGTGCTTCGTGAGAGCCCCAGCCTTTGGACTCCATTCTGGACTTTGACTGCTGTGTGGAGTGCTAGAGAAATATGGTCAGGCTGACTCACTACACAGGCTCCCAGACAGCGAGTGGGTGATCCCTACTGAGCAGGGCAGAGCTCTCCTTGATAGAACCCGGCAGGCTTGGACTTGACCACTGATTCTGCAGTAGCAGCTAAAGCAGCCATAGTAACCACGGGAGCCCCCACCCCAGTACTTCAGGGGCTGTAGCTCTCTACTCTCTCCTGCTGTGGACCACCTCTGACCTCTACATGAGTGTACACAGATGAGCGCCCCACTCCAACATGTGTGGGCACACACACTCACACACACACACACACAGAGAGAGAGAGAGAGAGAGAGAGAGAGAGAGAGAGAGAGAGAGAGAGCAATGAATAAGCACAGAAAGAACACAGTCTTGGTGCTGAAAAGTGCTAGGTCAGAAACTGCTTTGAGAGTAGTATTCAAGGTGTTCGGTCTTCCTCGACCTTCTCATCTCTGCAGGACACGCCAACTCCTCATGTTCGTTACCTCGTAGGGTATTTGGGTGAGGAGCTCTGAAGGAGTGTTAGCGCTAGTGAGCGAGGTCAGTTTTTGCTGCAGCTTTTCTCCAATAGAAGAGGCATGTCTGCCCTTCTCTGACCTGGCCCTAAGTCCTGAGACAGCAGGTAAAAGAAACTTTGTCTGGGCAGGCTTCTTCAGACAGAGCTGAGACAGAAATGGGGCCTGTGCTTGGACTGAAGCCTGTGATAAAGACTCCGGTCTCAGAGTGACAGGGCAGTCTGTGTGGACCTCGCTAAAGTACTGCCTGTTTGGGCTGATGTGTTGCTATTGCTGTTGGTGGCGTTATTAATTAATTAATTAATTAATGTTTGTTTATTTATCTATTTATCTGTTTATTTATTTATTTGAGATGGGGTCTCCATGCCTGTTCTGGAGCTCACTATGTAGACTAGGCTAGCCCCAAATTCACAGAGGCCCGCTTACCTCTGCCTCCTAAGTCACTGGTTCAACCCTTGGCTAGTTTGTCTTGTTAGTAAAGTGTTATTAACTGGGTAGCTTTCAAACAGTAAGAGCCTCCTCCTCACCTTTTCGAGACTGAGCAATGCCAGATCAATGCCGGGGACTATCATGAGGGCAAGTTCCAATTCCAGAAGCTCCTACCTCATGGCCTCATCACCTAAAGGCCTCACCTCTAACACAATCAATGGAAGGTAAGCATTTTAGCATATGCATTCGAGGTGACGTTTTCAGCTTCTGAGAATGGCTCTTTTGCACCTGAAGCCATAAGGGACACCCACAGAGTGGAGAGCAGACAGACTTGGCAGGACCTGGAGGGGCCTCCAGCTTGCCTATTCTGCAGCAGCTTGGACCTGACCCTGCACTGAGGTCTGCTTGGCCAGAGCGAAGCACCTGTTCTTTCTGGAATAAGGTGCAGATAGCTCCCTAGTGGCAACTGAGAGAGCTCTACCAAAAGTAGGCCTGGAACAGAAAAGATGGGGGTTGGGGAAACAAACGGAGGAAGGAAGCCAGTATGGCCAGCATGACTGGGGGGGTGTGAGCGATGAGGCTGATGAAGTCAGTGAGACCAACAGAGACAAGGCAGATAGGGTGTGAGCCTAAACCACTGAGGCTTTGTTTAACACACCAGAGCACCCACCACACTTTCATTCTATTTGTGCGAGTTTCTTCTGTGTGTCTGGAGAATATTGGATGGAACCCGAGGATAAGCATTTTAACATATGAACTGGACAAAGGAGAGTCTGTGACTTGGAAGAGAAAAAGGGGTGGTCAGGATAGGAGTGGAGTGCCTACTGCTCCCCTGACTCCTCAGGCAGTCTCTTAAACTCACATCCAGGTCCTAAATCCCTCCCCTGTGTTTCCATGGTAATGAGGCATCCAACCCTGACACAGTGCTTGAGGTATTCTCCTTAGTTATTGCTTAGAGGGGAAAGACTCTAGTCATCAGAATCTTCTAAATGGGTAATGGCCAGCTAGGAGAAATGGGCTAGCCTCAGGAGAAATCTGCTTATCTCCAGGAGAGTTACGTATCTGAAAAGGGCACAAGGAATGTCTAACTTAAGAAATCCTGTCCTGTTGGGAGGGTAGTGCACACTTTTAGTCCTAGCACCTGGGAGGTAGAGGCAGGCAGATCTCTGTGAGTTCAAGGACAGCCTGGTCTACAGAGTGAGTTCTAGGACAGTCAGGGCTCCATAGTGACACCCTGTCTTAATCATCCATTTAACCATCCATCCATCCACCCACCCAATAAACCATCCAGCCAACCAACCAACCAACCAACCAACCAACCAACCAACCAACCAACCAACCAACCAAAAAAAGAAAACAAACAAACCAAAAGAAATCCTGTCCAGCTGGTCTTGAACACCTACTCAGTTCCTGGGTCAGCTTCAAGCAGAGCCTTTTCTGGACTCAGAAGCTGAGATTAATCCTAAAGCAACTCAAAAAGCTGCCTGGGTTTTGTACATAGCAGCTTTTCAAATATAATATAATAACCTGGGCTCTGGATGCCTATGGGGTTTCTAGTAGTCTTCCTTCCTTCCTTCCTTCCTTCCTTCCTTCCTTCCTTCCTTCCTTCCTTCCTTCCTTCTTTCCTTCCTTCTGACAAGAAAAGACTGTACCTTTTCTATAGTAACATAACAAAATTAAGAACAAAATGTCCACTGGAGTGATGGCTCTTGCTTGTGATCCCAGGACTCAGGGGGCCTCAGTAAGAGGATTGTCACACATTAAAGGCTAACCTGGCCTACAGTGTGAAACCCTGTCTCAAAACAAACAAAACTCAATTAAAAATAAGATGTACATCAATTCCCTAGTTTGACAATTCATATTTATTTAGCATTCTATGACAAATTATTTTGAAATGTTTAAAAAATCTTATACATGATTTTATGTCTTATCAACACAAATTTTTCCTTTGTTTTCTTGAAGCAAAGTTGGAGTTTATTTGAGAAAATGTTTTAATATAGATTTAAGCATGGGCAGAGAGAAAGAGAGACTTAGAAAAAAAGAATAGTACACACCCAAGTGTCAACATAAAATTTAAAACACATCTTTTATCCTAGGGTGTGATTGTGGTACTCAGGGTATAATTTTGGTTTTGGTTATAATTACCTCTTCTTATGTGATAATTACTGACAGTTTTTCATTTACTTTTATGAGCAGGTAATATAGCACATGTGTCACAACTTCAAAACATGAACCAAGGCATTGTGAAAGAAAACCTTACCCCCTTATTTATTTGCTTTTGTTCCCATGGACTTCTCTGTCTTCTGAAGTTCAGTGTTTAGTTTCTAACATGTTCTTCATGAATTTCTTTATATACATAGAGTCAGCCCAAACAATGACTCTCACCCCATTCTTTTCACAGAGACTAAGACACCCTGTTTATTCTTCAGGCTTCCACCATTCCCAATTATTGGCATATCTTGGAAACATATTCTTTTTTTGGTTTTTTGAGACAGGGTTTCTCTGTATTGCTTTGGAGGCTGTCCTGGAACTCACTCTGTAGACCAGGCTGGTCTTGAACTCAGAGATCTGCCTGTTTCTGCCTCCCCAGTGCTGGGATTATAGGCGTGCGCCACCAACCCCCAGCTCTGGAAACATATTCTTATTAATAGATGAAGGGCTACTTCACTCTCTTATTACAAGTGAAGTATGATTGACTTTCACAAGGGTTGTATGTATTTCCTGTGTAGATCTTAATGAATTGAAGGTAAACATACGGGATACAATAAACTTAGCAGTCACCTCTAGGAGGTTCCTCTCTTCCTCCTTTCCTGGTGACAAGGGCTTTTAAGCCAAGGCTAGCCCAGATGGAACTTATTATACATACTTATATAAATTTATATATAACAGGTTGATCTTTAATTCCTGGCTATCTTCTTGCCTCCTGAATGCTGAGATTACAAGTGAGGGCTACCATGCCAGGCCTCGCCTCTTGCATTTTGGAGCATACGGTGATGGGATGCGCAGCTCTCCAGAAGCTCTCATTGCTCATAACCCTCACAGCTGTGTCTTTCGGGTCTTCCTCCCCACGCCCAGGAGCTTCCTCATTCATGGTCTGCATCCTTTTCTAATAGCTGTATACACGCATGTGGATAAGGCACCTCATTAGGGAGGGGTCTTAAGCATCTGGCTAGCCCTTCATGGCAGTATATATGACTTATTCCTCTGTGGTGGACAGTGCCTTTGTGAGGCTCTGTGTCCACCTGACTGTTCTAGATGTGTGTCAGTCAGTCTCATGTGTGAAGAGGATTTCTCTCAGTTTTGATAGATGCTGCCAAGTTGCCTTCCCAAAGGGGCTGTGCCAATTTACACCGTATAGGGATGGTGCAAAAAGCCCTCCTCCTTGTGTAGATCAGAGTGAGCTCTCTACTAGATGGATGTTTACCAATCTCATAGGTGAAAATTGGTATCTGTAGCTTTAATTTGCAATTGTCTGATGAGTTTGATGGTGTTTTTATATAGTCAGGAGCCACTTGCTCATTTGTCTTTGTTTATTGATCTTTTAGAAACTCTACATATTTTAGGAAGCTTCATCCTTCACCTGTGACAAAAGATGCAAAGCATCCTTCCCTTCAGGTTGTAAAATGTCTTTTGTCTTTCTTTCTACTGTGTTCCTTTACTTATTAATAAGATATAATACCACAGTCTAGGCTAGCCTGGGACCTCGAACTCATGACAATTCTCCTGCCTCAATGCCCAACCGCTGGGATTACAGGTATGCCCCAACACTTTTTAAAAAGTTATAAACAGCTATTATATTGGCTAGAACATCTCCTGTTAGGCCATATCTCTTATCTAGTTCCACTGTTTCCTGACTGAAATACAGGCTGGTGAC